CACAAATAGCAATCGCAGTGATAGAAAGCAATAGRCTAGGAACCACCACACTCATCGTGAATGCTAAATTCTTTGACATACACTGAAAAACCAAGTAGCCATTGCTTCTTGAATCCATTCTACGGAATGTTTCATGTACATGAATCAGCTCTTTAGGTCCCATTTGATGCCCGTATGTAAACGTATTTAAGAAACTRCATTCATTAAAGCCATGTAGTTCTKTAGAGCTTACAGCGTTCAAACGAAGATGAAATCCATCATGATTTAACGGACGAACCCCGAGGTAATAAACGAGCATTCCGATATAAACATCGTCAATCCACAATGGCAGGATCACGCGACTTGCGTCAAGAATGCGTGACACTAAGTAACGCGACAAAATGTAAGAAAATCCGGCACAATACGGAGGGAATACTTTGCTCGAGTATAGAATATTGTTTAAAAAATGTTTGGAGTTGTTCTTCCTAAATGGACCAATACTCCAGTGCACAAAACCAGAGTAAAGGTCTTTTGGAATTTTTGAATTTTTGTTATTCAACCACGTAGATAAAAGTGGTACATTTACATAGACATCATCATCTGCTTTCAAGATAWATTTACAKTCTATCGACAAAGACCACTKMAAASCCATAAATACTTTGATGTTTAACGACTTGTATGAGTCCGTGAAATTTCCAATTAACATATCATGGTTTTTAGCTATCTCTTCTYGTATTTCTAGAGWAAGAGATGATGAAGTTCCAATAACRAAGGCTGTTCTGTACGACRATTTTCTCAACACCAGTGGCATYGTACCAAAGAAATTCCAGTTTTCTGCYCTACCCCAAGTMTTYCTAATGGCAGTTCTCCTGTGTAGGTTACTCGGTGAGCTGGATACCAGAATTATTASCAAGAATTGAGAATTATTAAAGCCGTTTGGAGTAATCACAGGATCTTTAATGGGCAGGTATGATTGATTCATTCGTCTGTTGTTTAGTGTAGCTTGGCGGTCTTGATAAGAGTCTTCCATCTCCAACTTTAGTTCCCAAAACTTTTGTAGAACCAAAACAACGATCCATATAGAGAAAATAGTTCCTAATACAGCCTTTTTACGTAATGTTATCCGACCAAAACATCTTATGAACGCCATCTTATATCGTGACGAGTAGTTTCCGCCTGATGCATCGGTGATTCTCACCAACTACCATGAAATTCTAATTAGCTTTCAAATAAATGAATATACATATGAATATAAATAGATACTATAAATAGATACAATAATTCAATAATTCAATATTTAATAAGTATTTTAGAAGTGATTGCCAGCTTCACAAGATTTTACAGTTCATATAATTTCGTAGTGTTATACTTTATTGGGGTTCCTGTGGTAATCTTTAACACAGGTAACCCAATGCTCTCAATGAAATATTTATGTCATCTGTTTTTAATTTCAATTTTAAAGAAGCATTTTAAAAGCGATGCTAGCTTTAAAAGATTTTAATTTGATTTAATGTTCATACAACAATGGTTCTGAGTTGTTCTTTTTTATTGGGGTCCCTTTGGTATAAATCTTCAACACATGCCGGTTTGACAAGCCGCATTAAGCTCTCCATGGCTGTTCCTGTACGTGGCTTCAAGTTTCACGAATATGAAAATGTCGACGTAATCCCCTTCGATTACGCTAGTCAGCGCTTTTCGCTTTTCAGTGAATGAACTGAATTGAAATATACATGTATGCGAAAAATAATATATGTTTTCAAATTTTACACTAAAGACTGAAGATTCAGAATAACCAAAACTAGAATAAAAGCCGGCATTACTGATCTAAAATTATCGAACCGATAAAAATATACTCAAAATAACAACGAAGATAGTAAACGTTAAACTCAAGCCAGGAATTGAGCCCSCGTTACAGAAGTTATTCTCACAGCAGTGTATCCCACAAGAAATTTTACCGGAAGTCTGTGTACAGTATGTATAGTTTTGCCATTTACACATCGTAGAACGTGCACAGCCTAGGAGAAAACCTTCACTTATGTCTCCAAATAAGGCCGCGGTCCAGTTTGCTTTGAGGCAGCGGTCAAACCCATTTGGGCATGTGATCTTTTTTATTCGCCCATGGCATTCGTCTAGCGAGTTGTCACTTCCACAAGCAAAGCATTCCACGGCATATCCTGAAAATATATTTCTATGGTCAAACGGATGACGGAGAATGAATATTGGGATAGCTGTGGCTGAAGGCTGATCATTTTATGCGCATGCGCAAAATCTACGTTAATGAATCATGAGCCGTTATTTTGTCGAGCATGCTCATTACCAAATTACAAAACGACATTACACGGGATGACATACTAGCAGAAAGACATTTCAGCATGCGAACGTTTTCCAAGAAAATATAAACGTTTCAGTGAGACAATAGTGATCGTATACTTATTTAAAAAAATGTTGGTCAACAAAGTCGAGACCAGCAAGGACTATGGGTAGATATGTTTCAACAGCTTGATAACTATTGATGGACTTAACTTGTGATGATCTTTACAGTAAACCGCGTTACATCTTTATCTCCTTTGAGCATCATCAAGCCGCAAGTTTGTATCAAGAGCTTTGCTCGTTTAATATGAAATCGTGCTTCCCACGATCCTCAGCGGTCTCAGCTTTGTAGGCTTTTGGTGACTACCTTTATTGAAATAAGTATATATCTTACTATGGAAATCAGTAGACTGCTTATTAGAATTTCAATAGGTTGTGAAATGATTGACGTATTCGTCCCAGTAAAATTCAAGGACTGAGCGGCGTGCTCGATAGGCCGTTACGTTTGCATGGTGGCGTCATTTTGCTAACCACTATTTTTCTTGTGGTGGTATTAATGACGCCTTAATGTAATGGAAGTGTCCTACTGGAACAAAAGACGGTCTACTGTTTTCATAGCATTAGACATTTTAGGGTTCAATATTACGGGTGGTATTTATTACCTTGCTTTGAATTGGGAGAAAAGAGAGAAAATCTCTGCCAAGCAGGGTAGACGGATGTTTTATATTTTATTGAAAACTAACGACTGCGCATGCTCCTATCTGTACAAAGATAAATATTTATTTATTTCAATTCTCTTTGGTCGAGAAAAAATTTATAATTCATTTTTCAAATTTTCAATTTTAAAAAAATTGAAAAAGAATATTACGGGTCATATTTTGTGGTTGTGTGGTTTGTAAATTGAAATATAAACAGTTCAGGAAATGATATATTTATCGAAACAATAAGCGTGGTTCACCACGCAGCCTGCGGTTTTGATAGTTCAGCTTGAGTCTTTCTAGCAGAGAACTACTTTGTACGCCGTATACGTAAAAATAAATTAACCCATGAAGTGAAATAGCACATAATTAGGACCAAAATTAGCAGAAGTTTCTCGACACTTGATATTTTCTCATTTGGGAAATCAAATCTCTCGTCATATATGCTAAAGCAATACAACATGACTGTAGAGAAAAACCTATTTTGAATTTCTGCCTCTGTTTTTGATCTACTGTTGGGAGTATAGCGTGAAATTAACTCCAACAAACCTTCTTGGTCCTATTTTTACTTTACTAATTCAAGTTAATCTGTTAATGCCTGCAATGTCGTCCAAATAGTATGTAAGCCGTAAGAAAATTCTAGGACACCATAGCTATATACGACCACTACGTGTGCCGTTGTCAACGATTGACTCACAGTTTTTGGAAGAAAATAAGTAGCGGAGAAAAACATTTTTTAAAGAATAAAATTCTCAAACATTTCTTGAAATTGGTACCTTGAGTTAGTCATAAAGTCGTGTAGAAATACGAAATTTCTATACGTTTCGCCTGGTGTTTGTTAACGAAAAGAATTCATTTATGAATAAGCTAAATATCATATAGGTTGGTAGGTCAGTTTTATTTATTTTCACCTGCTCTGGCGAAATTCTTAGCTTAGCTTGTAAACATCACGATTTATGCTTTTAGTTGTAAAAGATGTTTCATGTTTTAGTTATTAACTTCAGGAAACCTTTTAACTCATTTTTAAACAACAAAATACTCGTCTTATATCCTTTCAGTTGTAAACTTCATTTTCAAATAAGTGGATTTCGTTTCTCATGCGTAAAAATGTCTCTCTGAAACAAGCTATATCTTATAAGTATGTCAAGTTTAACTCGGATATTTGCATTCATAGTAAATTATGCTTCAATCTCTGTTATGTTTTTTACTCTTTCTTTCTCCATTATATTCGATTATTTTGAAGGCTTTTAGTACGAATAAAAGCATTCTAGAAAATGGGTAAAAGGTTTAACATAATAAACTCAATCTATATTTATAGAGAACTCAAGAATGAAGGCATTTAAAGATTCGGAATTTTATATTTTCTATATTTTCTTACCTTTAAGAACGAAGACAGCAATGATAAAAAATGTTATGAGGAAAATCCCTTTCGTTTTAAAATGAAGTTCCATGTCTCAGTTTCACCCCAGCACAATTTTCATCCTAAATTTTTTTTCTTAAATTATGGATAAATTTATGAAGTATTTTTCCTCTTCTTCCGTAGCTGTTAGCAATTAAGGATATCCAGATATTCTAAAATGGGTATTTGAAGGAGWGAATTCAATGACCAGCGATTTGTTTTGGCCAAGAGACAAGAATTAATGATCTGCTGAATTTTAAACTTTTACAAGGGTTCATTTTGCATATATTATTGAACTCTGACAAAATTTAGGACGTAAATAATTGAAGACACTCTTCAATATTTGGCTGTCAGAAAAAACTTTTATAGCACCACCAATCACATTCTTTACCTTTCAATTTTTTATCATCCGTCCTCCCCCTTGTCATTTGCGAATAACATGTTCTTGAAATATTTAAAATGTTTGAGAATATTTTTATAAGTCAATCTTTGTGTCTATTCTTTATGACTAAGAAAACCGTATAAAAACTGAAAACTTAGGATATATTTTATCTCCAGGCTTTTTGTAATTACTAGATGTCAAAACAAGTTTGTCTTGATAAGCAACGATTTTTGCCGTTAGCTAGTGAAAGACTCATAGTACATTTTATATCCAGAAGATACGCCTACAGATCATTATCTGATATTGGAATTATATTCTCTAGCAGAATACAGTTTCACCGCTAGGGGAGGAGTGAGCGTTGCGTGACGACACTAATAGCGTCTGCGTAGGAGACTAACCGCTCGAAGGAAACATAAATATAACAATTACAGTTTAGAAAAAAAACCCTCAAATAATCATGCGAACCAAGCTTCTTAYTTTTGTATTTTATTTTCAAAACCAAGTTATTCCCTTGAGTATTATTCCTTGCTTTGCAAAGAATGCTTTTCACTTATCGTGCAATGTTTTCTCATCTCAGATCGTGTCATTCCCTTGAGTATTATTCCTTCCTTTGGTAAGAATGCTTTTCATTTATCGTGCAATGTTTTCTCATCTCAGACCATGTGTGATTCCCTTGAGTATTATTCCTTCCTTTGGTAAGAATGCTTTTCACTTATCGTGCAATGTTTTCTCATCTCAGACCATGTGTCATTCCCTTGAGTATTATTTCTTTCCTTACCTAGGAATGCTTTTCAGCTATGGTGCAAAGTTTTCCCATTTCAGACCATGTAGTATTCCCTTGAGTATTATCTCTTTCTTTAATAGTAATGCTCCATTTCAGACCACGCGTCATCCCCTTGAGTATTTCTAATAGGTTTGAAATGGAAATCACTTTTAAAGTTACGTGCCAGCTTTGTCGCCAGCAGGGGTCTAATTCACTGCACTACCGATTTAGCCCGAGTCCTTTAATAGTAATTGAAATAGATGACTTGACGAGGTTGAGCCTGTGCAAATGAGTCTGGTGTATTGAGAAACCTAGCTGTAATTGTATTGGCTGCCCTGCATTCCATAT